TGCAGGGAACTCGGAGGAGGAGCAGCCCACAAGCAGCCAGACAGAAGGACAGCCGGGCCACGCGCAACGAGCAACACGTGAGGCAGAAGCGACCCCTCCAGAACAACGCAGCATTTGCGAACAGGTGCGTTAGCGACATGCACCTTGCAACATCAGAGCCTTGGCCAAATCTTCAAAGGCCGGGAAAGTGGGCGTCTCCGGCTTTTAACTTGACTGTCCTGGTGTTATTGGTGGATAAGATGTGGCGGTTTTGCTTGGTAATGAGTAGAGGATGAGCAGGCTTTGTAGTCTGGCAGCAGCGCCGGGTCAACCACAGTGAACTTTCCGCGAAGAGGCTTCATAACAATAATATATATATACACAATATACAAATACACATATAAATATAGATATAATTGTAAAAAATGACGTGTTCAAAATCCCATATAAAAGACCAGTTATTCGAAAAGTTAAATCACAAAGATTTATTCCCTGATACAAAGAGTCTAAACAGCGGATCTGGACTTAAAGCTAGCTCCTCCCTCCAATCTATATAAAGAGTATAAAGTCAGGCGCTCTGACTTTATACTGCAGGTTCCCTTGTCCAGACTAGTCACAATTTCTAATAATACGTTTTATAATGTGCTGAAGATCCAGGACTCCGTCCATCGAAGACGTCATGGCTCCTATCAACTCAGATCCCCGAGACAGGAATTTTTGTCCCCTCATGCGAAGCAGACAATCGTTCCTCGAAAGGTTACTTTTTGCAGCAAGACCAGCCGGTCCTTGAAATCCTCACTGACCCCACTAAAACATTTAAACTAAAGGCCAATTAAGCAGACTCATACTGATAATATAAGAACATTATGGAGATACTTATAAGAACATTTACTGATCAATATAATTGTTCGTACATGTGATACTGGAATAAACCATTGTTAAGGGGGTTATACTTTATTCACATCTTGTCCTGTGTGCAGCATGTGCAAAAGTTATTCACAACAATATATATGTATAGTTCCCGTGTAAAGTGTGTTCATAGTCGTGCTCAAGTGTCACCGAGATCATGACTTTTTTACAGTGAAACCACAAAGAGAGAAAACACGACTAAACCAGTGAACTGTTGTTCATAAACAATGTTTTTAAGACTTATTATTCTGAGACACAGACAGATTCATTGACCTGAAGACTTGCTTTGAGGAATTAACTTTTCATTTTTGAGAAAGTGATGCACTTTTTGCAGTTTTCCACAGGTTTTGCAGTTTGTACTAATTGTTCTGAGAAATGACAAACCTGACCGTGCAAAATGGAAGAGATGTGAGAAATGCCACCAAAGAACACCGAGAAACAACTGTAAGATTATTGGTCCACAGTGGGGAAATTTCAAGTTGAAGATAATCGAACCAATATCTCTATTACTGAAATAAAGTCAAATCCAACTTGAAGCAAAATAAAGAAGCAAAAAGGTCCTGAAAATCAAGTGCAGACATATTTTTTATAAGGCCTTTACAATGGTTGCATCCAATCATAACAAATACTTTCTTCTTTGACCTTCTGAAAATCTGTGAAAAAGACTGATTAAATTTAGTCAACTTTAAAAATTAGCAACTTTTTAAAATTGACATGTTACCAACAATAGTAATAAAGTGTATGCAGAACAGGAGGTCATTTCAAAGTAGTACCACAGTCGTTAAACACTAAGATTGTGTTATTCACTGAATATAGAATGAGTTTTAAACACCTCTGACTGTTGTTGATATCAACCAATGTGCGGTTACAATGTTTGTGTTATTGCAGCAGCCACACTCCTGCTTCAGCTCCGAGGCACATGGACCATTGTTGATTCAGTTTTTATTATTGATTCATTCAGAGACACAGGAGAAAAGAAGTAGATTTGGAAAGAAGAGCTGGAGATGAACTGCTGTGAGAAAAAACTAATTTCACATTGTTACTTTCTTCATTGTTTGTTCATTTTATAAGAAATAGGTTTGACTGCGACAATCTTCATGATTTATTTCAAACCCTGTGTAATCTTGTAAGCCCTAAAATCACAAGAGGACTAACTAAAACACTGACACGCCAGCACAGCCATGAGAATCCAACTGTTAAGACACAAACAAAATACAGTAAGAAAACCAGTTGGTATTGGTCGACAGGAAGGAAGACAGTGTCCATGAGGATGTAGAATGTTAAAGTGTCCTGGATCATCACCAAACCTTTTCTGTTGGACAACTAACTGTCCAAACAGACTTCCCATGCATCCGAGTAAAAACTCAAAACCCAGTGGAGGAAAGTGATAAACCTCGAGCGATCCCGCTCCCGACACGGACGGACGGGCTTGTAGATCCTGGACCTAAGCTACAGAACCAGACAATGCACAGAGCATTGGCTTTACATGAGTGTAAATTCGCCAAAACAGATTCAGAGATTTCAGATAAAATTCAATTTATCTAAGTGTTTTATCTTGGTTGGACAGCACATGTTAATGAACACATCACTCCGGATTGTAGCCATGGGCTAATTGTTGTCCATGGTCCCCAACATTCGCACTCACAAACACACACTTCCATTCACCCAGAGCTATTGCACATGTTTTAGTGAGAGGGAAACCCGAGTAACACGGAGGAAACCTGCGCAACACGGGGAGAATATGCAGACTCCACTCAGACCCGGGGTTCAAACCCAGAACCTTCTTGCCTGAGGAGCGAGAGTGCAATCCACTTGCACGGCTGCTGAGTGGATAGCAAAGAGTTTGTGAGGATCGGAAAAGTTATAGGTCGGAGCCCTCCCAAAGGTGGCGCCTCTAGAGTCATGATTAGTGTGTAATTTCACATCTTTACCCGCTCAAGGCCATGACCAACTGTTAGTGAAGTGAGGTCATCTCTGTAGTCTGAGCCTGGGCAAGAAGGATCGAATTAAAAGAAATTCCCCACCGCTCGCATGAAAACAGTGAAAAATATCTAACTTATTTTTCTTGAAAATATGTAATCTCTCCAATCCGTCCAGAATGAGAATACATGTAAAGTCTGAGTGATAATAACCCTGGTGTAAAAAAACACAACACTTGAACTGTCCCTGTAGGTGGCGCAGTTGTTGTGTTTGCATATCGTGTCACAGTCAATACGCTTGTATTTGTGCACACATATCTATCCACATTGACAAACCCCTGTGCCAAAAAGCTCCTTCAAACATTTCGTGTCGCCCCCAGTGGTCAGTTTTGTGGACTGACAACATATTGCGTAAAAGTAATGTTTGGCTCGTCTCGTCCAGAGAATACACTCAGCGAATTTAGGCCCGATCCGAGTACTAGTGCCCCATTTACTTTCCGACAGGTGCGCTAACATGAAGTGTAGAAGTCATGGCCGTATGATAGAGAAATTATCACTGATCTGTCGTTTACCTACTCTGAAAATATGCATGACTGGCCCCATAGCTTCGCTAATTTGACATTTCCAGGGGGCGCTATTAGAGTCGCCGTTTGTAGGACAATCTTGAAACGATCATTGTGTGAAACAAATCCAGACCCCCCGTGTGCAGACCGTACGTGCATGTCTTCAGGGTCATTAAAAGTGCAGTGTTCCTGAAGCTCAGCTCGCTACAAAGAAATGGTTCAAACAGAGAAACAACGAAAAGTGCAGCTTATAAAATCATAATATTATCAGATCAAATGTAAAGGATAAACTACGTCCATTTTTACATAATTACAAACACAATGATTTTACATAAGACGTTGTTTTATGGTTTAATTATTCATTTGTTCCTTCATTCATTCATTTTCAAACCCCTTTATGAACCATTTTCTGGGCGGTGGGTTGGCGATCCAGAGCTGCCAACCAATGCTCAAACACCAGTCCTCTGACCCTCTCAGGGTGGGGGTCCACAGGAAGATGGCTGCTGCAGTAGTGGCTTTTTCAGCGGGAGCATATCAGGCAATGTGGGGTAAAAGTGACCATGCCCAAGGAAACAGCAAGAGTAACATCATTGGGAGCTGCTGGAGGTAGGTCCCGTGGTGACTCAAACTCACCACCTTCAGGCCCAAAGGCAAAAACTCTACCATCTGAGCTACAGTCGCCCACAGTATATCATATCAGTATTATTGTTATATTTATACTAATCAGTCAGAGGCAAGTTAATTGTTTAGCCCAGTTCACACACTGGTAGTAATGTGAGTGTGTGGGCAGGAGTCTGACCCCTGGAGGTATCACTGGACTTACACTCTGACCATGAGTGTGTTTTGATTTTTCTTTGAATCATTGTAGACTGTGAGGCATATTAAGAAGAATGGTCCTTTTGTGGATAATTGTCCCTATGGGTTTTGATTTTGTTTTTAGCTTGGATGACCCAAAGCTAAGAAGGCTGCTATAATAAGTGGTTAGTTTTCAATTGTTAGAGCAAAAAAATGAAAGGAAATGAAGCTGAAATGTGACAGATTCAGAGTCATTCGTCAAGTGATTCCTCAGAATTAAAAAGACAAACTTTACCTTTTCCAAACTGCAGCAAAGCTCTGAGACAACTCATATGCTGAAACGCCGAAGTCGATGTTCTAAGTGCTTTCTGCGTCTGAATAAGAGTTTTACTTGAATTCTGCTTAATCCGCTTTGACCACATTCTCCAATTCTGTTAACGACATCTCCAGTTCTCCACATCATATGCTCAGAGCTGAATTCTTCTTCCATGGAAAAGCATATTATTCCTTCCATTTTGGTATTTTCCTCCCCATTCGTGCTACATTTCTCCACTTCTTCTCAGAGCCTCTACTTCCAGATCCCTGAAATGAAACTATGAATATCTCCTTCTGTCAATATCTGTCGATTTTTGGTTTGATCCCTCGTTAAGACACGTTAGTTTCTTGTGGTTATGTAGGAGCATTTCTTCACTTCCTGCTGTGCTTTTGTCCCACATGTCCCTCTGGTAAGAACAGGATTTATGCGCTCCCCTCTGTCCGGTTCCTGCAGACGTCACTCTTCTGCTCTTGAACACTTGGCTGTCGTTATAGCACAACCAGCCGTCGCCCTGGTTATTCAGGTCATGGTCCGGACTTCTGCCTTCAAAGATGTAATGTCCAGACTTTGCATTATCTCCGAGGTGAGAGATGACCCCGACCAGACTGAAACGAGCCGCAGTGTTTTCTGTGACAGCACCAGATCTTTGTCGATGCTCGTGCCATCGTGCACTTTCTCCAGTCGGTAATCGCGTGTGTACCTGTACCGCTTCAGGTGAAGAACCAGGATGTTTGGGAGAGTGGAGAACATCGCTGACATGGTAGAAACTTGACCTTTACAGGTGCAGTTATACTCCAGCTGGGTCGGCTTCAGATAATTCTCCAGAAGTTTGTCGGTGGTAGTTTCCGCACAAAGGTCCAGAGAGAGGTTGGTGAAGTCCTCTCTCTTACGTGAGCCCTTTCCACACGTCTGGCAGATCCTTCTGCAGTCCAAACTGAACTCCAGCTCCTGCACTGGGCACTTGTAGGTCATGCCCAGGCTGGAAGCAACGTTCTGCAGCATTGGAGCCAAACTTTGAATTTGCCCGATCAACGCAGTGAAGAACTCATGGGCGTCGTTCTGTCCTGCCCCTTTAAATTCTGGAGATTTTGAGGCAACTGTGGCTTTGAATGAGCGAAGAAGAAATCTCTTTTGGCATATTTTCGGGGCTTCTCTGTTGGTCTGGAAAACATGAAGGCATTTTCAATAGAGCGGCCTCTTTGCTCTGCTTCCAAATGCTCTTCTGAGAGTTGATTTTTCTCATGAATGGTGTTATAGTCAGCAGGCTCTGTACGCTGGCATTTATATAACAAGTGTTTTCCCAGGTTTGGAAGTCCATAATGCAAGTTCAAGTTGGTTTTTTGAGGAACTGGTTTAGGGACTGTTGTGGTCTCTCTTTCTCCAGTTGTTTGTGTGAGTGGGGCTGGAGCAATTTTGTTTTTCCATGGCCTCCATTTGACGCGGGCCGTGGCTTCTTTTCCTGTATCTGGCGCTGTCGTTTGTGTGAGTGGAGCTGGAGCCACTTTGTTCCTCCGTAGCCTAAATCCAGATATCCACTTTTTTGATAGAGGCTTGTCCTTTTTCTCCGAACCTCGAAACAGGCTCCTCAGCCACGAAAAGCATCCGTTGTTGGTTGACTTGGAGTCCTCATCACGGGCCACACTTACAGGTGCGGAGGCCTTTCTGACCTCTTGAATATCTGACCCCTGTGATTGTCCACGCGATAGCAAGACACTCAACAACATTGTGATTGTGGAGTACTACTACTAACTCTACCAATACTACTACTACTATACAGTATATACGAACCGTGATTTCGAACAGTGGACTGAAGATATATATCACCCACAAGTCAGACCAGTCCTATCCATCTCTCCAAAGCTGATGATGGGATCTAGAACTTGTGACATCATTGTTACCCATGGTGATTAGATAGGGAGCGTCGCCATGGTGACACACAGGGAGTCCCAGCAGCGACTATAACTTTTGACTATAAGCCGGACTTCTGGCTGTGTGAAACATTTTGCGCACATAACTTGGTATAAAATAGAGGCCAGTGCAGTCATTTGTGTAAATAAACAGTTTTATAATTCAGAGAAAGGTCATCATTGGGATTCGTTCATCGCAAACGAACCACCTTCACCTTCATCCTGTTTCTAGCGAGTGCGTGCACCGGAGCTATTGGATTTTCTAAAACCTAAAATGGCTGAACAGAAAATGCTAATTTCACATTTTCCGCCCACTCTCCCTGTTGTGTAAAGGAAAATGCTGGATGTTTGGTTTGGTGGAGAGGGAGGGGAGAGGGGAGTGGTTTCCTGTTGGTGCTACGGCTAAGCTAATAAAATCGCATACGGCATCTTTAAATACACTATAGTTGGTTCAATGTATTACTCTATCCTTTAACTTAAATATACAGACAACAAAAACATAACATTTATAATATTATTTGAGATTGTGCAACTTCAGCTTTAAGATGACACATATGGGACATCTTTTAATCTACTTGAATAAACTTGGAAAGCATAAAACAAATGAAAAACATAAGTAAGCAATGGGGATTTAGATCCAGGACTGCGGCTGCAGAACGAGGACTAAAGCCAAGCAATGTTTTTCACAGTTGTTCAGAATGTAAAGTCCTGGATGTGATTGTAAACTGGTCTATAATGAAACAGATCTGAAATGTTTCTGAAGCATCTGGAAAAGATAATAACTGCATTTGACAGTGCTATGGTTTCTTTTATCTTACTGTAATTCATTTTTGCATAATCCTAAATTGCAGAAGCAGTCGCCTCAGAGTTCTTTACAAAGTTGTGAGTTCGCCAACAACAGATCAGAGAATCAAACCGTTCCAACACAGGAAATGCAGTGATAAAAAAACACATATCTATTTAGCTGTGTTAAAATAAACGGGGCGACAGTGGCTCAGTTGGTAGAGCATTGGCCTTTGAGCCTGAAGGTCACGGGGTCGAGCTCACCACAAAAGACTTACTTCACGACTCTCACTGGTGTCTGCTGTCGTTGTGTCCTTGGGCAAGACACTTAACCCCACTTTGCCTGAAGCCCCTGCTGAAAGATCTCAGCTCCTGTGGACTCACCACCTGCAGGAGGATCAGTGAGGGACTGGTGCTCTGACTGCCACCGCCCCCCGACCCAGAAATGGATTAAGGGGAAGAAGATGGATGTGTTAAAAATGTATCTGACATTATTATATGACTTGGACCGTACGCACGCTCTGATTGGCCGATTACCGGTCTGATATTTTCCCATCTCGGACCGTTACCATGACAATCGGTCCGCAGCGCGTATCACACAAAACCAAGTCGGACATGAACATACTTCACAAATATCTCAAAAGCATTGGTAAAGACACTGACAAGAGTCATATAATAAAACATGTATTAACCTTGCTTGCTCGGTCTGTACAGAGTAATATCAGAGCTTGGCCTTTCTGCACATTAAGGCCGCGGTCTAATATTTCTCCACACAGACCGAGCAAGCAAGGTTAATAAGCCGTTATTATTGCACTTCTGGTTTGACATTAAACTGCATTGTATCGCAGCTTCAAGTTGGATTGAATCTAACTTGGGCAGCACGGTGGCTGAGTGGTTAGCACTCTCGCTTCTCAGCAAGTAGGTCCTGGGTTCGAAGGGCCTTTCTGAGTGGAGTTTGCATGTTCTCCCCGTGTCTGCGTAGGTTTCCTCCGGGTGCTCCGGTTTCCCCTACCACTAAAAACATGTACAATAGGTCTGGCATGCGCCTCATGTTCGCTGCCCTCGCTCCCATCTCTGTGTGGAGTCAGAGACTAATGCCCAAAAATAACAATTGTAAACCGCTTTGTGACTCTGGTCTGTGAAAGGCGCTATATAGATAAACATTACTTACTTACTTAATCTATCACAAGGGACTTCTGTATCAACACTGTCAAACTCATGCTGTGTTTAGCCTTTAAGGACATCGTGTTCTTTTGCACCTCTGGATTATTTTTGTCTCGTGGAAAAATTAGAAGATGACAAAAGGCAGGAGCACAAAAATAAGTGATTTAATAAATGTAACATTTGGCTCTTGCTTTGCACCGAGAGTTAAGATAAGAAGATAAGAAGAAATTTCAATTTAGTTAAAGTTATTTCTTAGTTTGTGACCTTTTTTTTGTTACTCACATAGCAATAATTCACTTTGGAGAGACCCAAGAGGGAAAATGCAGTTAGAAGTTTATTGATTGAGCATGTTTGGCGCCCCAGGCCCGGGAGAGATGCTGTTGAGCGCGGCGCTTGCTCGCACGCATAATCCCCCCCGGGGCCTAGGCACTGGTGACGGCAGAGGCAGTAGGCAAGCACGCTTCGATGAGAGAAGGAGGAGGTGGGGCGGCGGAGGCTTGCAGACTTCAGAAGGCCGGGAAGTGGGCGTCTCTGGCTTTTAACTTGCTGTCCTGGTGGTTATTGGTGGATTAGATGTGGGCGTTTTGCTGGTGTAATGAGTAGAGGATGAGCAGGCTTGTAGATCTGGCAGCAGTGGCCGGGTCTACCACAGTGAATTTTCGCGAAGAGCTGTGTCTTTTTGTATACACTTTACTAGCCAGTGCCTCGCCCAGTCTCTGGACCTCCATGACCTTTTTTTTTTTATTATATAAAAAAAAAAAAAAAAAATTAAAAAGGGCACTAGACATAGCAACAGGGAAGAACCTAATTGAAACTAAATTTGGTTTCATTAATCAAGTAAGCAATCTAGTGAAACGCGGAAACAATAAGCAACTCGCAATTGCTTTCCTTGTTGTGCAGGAAACAACCACCAAAAAGTGCGCTTGACTACTGTCAAGATTGCGGTCATAGTAGAGCACAGAGCTAAAGTCTAGCCAGCTCCTAGCCCTAACCATAACCATAGTGGTGAACCAGCCCAAACCTTAACCATAGAGGTGAACAGCCCTAAACATAATTAGTTTACAGGAAATTTTTTAATTTGAAACTAAAATCAATTTCATTATTCAATTTTTATTGGAACACTTCTCTGGTGGAAAACCAAGCTCAGCTCAGAACCAGGACCAGTCCAGGACTAGTCCAGGACCAGCACAATGAAATAAGGCTTCAACTGACATAGAATGCAAGTGAACTGAAAATGGCAACATTAGAATTTAACATTTAAATGAATGGAGTACTCACATTGCAAAAATAAAAGTTAATTTCATAACACAATGACAATAAACATATAGCTACAGAAAAATTCAAAGTTATGAAGACCAAGAATTTACATATACGCCAAGTAATTATTAAAAGGCGTCAAATTGACTGCTCTGGGAGTTCTAGTGTTATTTGCGCAACCCCAATTAAAAGTAGGAAGCCTTCAGCATGATTGTTTACCAACTAAATGAGTTTAATATGAGTCGATAACTGAATGTAGACAGTTTTTATAGTGTTATTGAATCAACTGTACCATAAGTATAATAAAACTAACTGTCCTCATTTCATCTCTTTGGTCACAAATCAAAATCTTTCAACCTCATTTCATACATTCCTTTATCTTTTTTTCCTGTAAATCTTTTCTAAATTGAACAATGTCTCTCAGGTGAGTTTCAGCTTCACTCATGAGGTGTGTTTTATTGTTTACATTTGTCACAGTTCTACCATCATGATATTCTGTATGTTTGTTCTGTGTATAGACATGTATGTGACTTTATTTTTGTTGCACAACTCTGGAGAATTTCAAAGAGCAAATGCAGCAAATATGTGAAATACATGTAGTACACAGACATACACATACATACATACACACATATGTGTCTTGTACTCAGTTACGTTTCTAAATAGTCTTTGTGTAACTTTACTGTCGTTTTTACTGTAAATGGCTGTACAGATCGTGTATATACAGTATATATTATATACATATATATATACATATATATATATGTATATATGTGACCACTGGGTCACTTTGAATATCAGGTAATGCCTTTTGGGCTCACAAACGCACCAGCAGTCTTCCAGTCACTCATAAATGATGTTTTGCGTGACATGCTCAACAAGTTTATTTTT